TTACTCATAAACCTGTCTGTAATTAAAGGGATAATAATTTCATCTGGAATTTGGCAACAAGCTGTGTGGCTAGGGAAGCACTTTAGAATTCACACCTTCAAGTATTTGATTGCTGTAGAAGAGCCTGCTTTTTTGGCATGCAGCATGTATTGGGTGTGTGAAGAAATACAGAGCATTTTGACCTTGAGGCAATCAATCTCTTCTGAGCACGTGGGTTTTGAATGGACATAGATATAATTAGAATTTTTAAATTACACAAGGTGTGCCCAATCTTTCCATCAGTATGTAGATGGAAGAAAATGCGGGAAGGATCTCTGGGGGAGAGAAAAGCACTCCTACCTTCTATAAAAAGCACCTCCCATGTTTGAGAAGAGGTGGATCCTTTGAATCTCWGCTCTCCTCAGTTTGTTGCAAATCGATGTTAGAAACTGCACATGAACAAGGCAAAAACTGCTGATAGTGTTTTATTCTTGAATCATAGATACAGATGTAGCAAAAGGAGTCCCAGGTACCCACCATGGTGCCACTSTTGAGTAATAGAAGGGTTTGGAGTTATATTTTCACCTTTTCCATAGAACATTTCTATCTATTGCATTTACCAAAGGGAAATCTAAAAAAAAGAACCTCCCATRAAACTTTCTGTCTTGTTCAAAAATCAGTATCATTTAGAATTATATAAATARTAGAAAACTAAACAAAGAAGTGAGTGTCCTGTCATTAATGTAGCACAGAAAAACTTGAAAAAWTCAACACCCTCTCAGACATCCACAAAACTTAGGATTAGGTGGGCTGATAGTAGTGGCATGAAATAAAGAGCAGAAAACAATTTGGCATTTTATCCTGATCAACTAAGTGAAAGTTGGTGAAGAAATGTCTGTATGTTTTCACTTTTACTTAAGGTCTATATTAAAAAATTGAGAAATATCCTTACTGGTTTTTGAGATACTTTTTTATCTCCCCTTTAAAAAGCTTTGGCTATTCATTAGTTGTTTTGGATATTCTTATTAAGCACTATAATTAAGATCAAAGTGTAATTCAAATTTTAGCTGCTCTTTCAGCAGCTTACAACATTTCAGACCAGTTTCTTCCTTCTTGAAAAAACATGATCAGGTACTTCTTTTTTGCTTTTTAAATGTTAAAGGGTTTATTTTTTTTAATATATTATAATAAAAATTAATGCAATTTGATTTTTCAGTACTTACTTTTATATATCAAACTTCCTCTAAGTGTGGGCTATATTTTATTCTACACATGTGAGAGGCTTGCCTTGATTTCAAATGTAAACTTAAAAGAAATCAAATGCTAAGATTAAAAACAGGACATAGCAGATAAATAAATATTAATTGAAATCAATACACACAGATTAATTTGCATCAAATCAAGATGCAGACCATACTCTGAAGAGSCATAAATGGGAAAATAAATAGACTTCAACCTTTTTTTCCCCTAAACTACCTTTCTGAGAGTAATCATAGTACCTAAATGCTCTTAATTTAATCATTCACTGGAGGATGTTACAGGTAAGTGCTCATAATAAACAGTAGGTGTTTCCCTGAGGGCCATGAKAGTTTGCATAATGTGCTAGCTATTTATTTTCCAGTGTTACGGTGGCAGAAAGCTGTTACAGTGTGGCTAACTCTACTGTGAAGTTTCATAAATGTCTCCTGCTAACGAGAGATATTGATTAAGTTCTGAACCTTACAGGTTAAAATAATACAGCAGCGCCAGTACAGTCACTGCTGTTCCTATGATCCAATTCCTTTTTTTTTTAATTAACTTTTGTATGTTGTGTTTTGTTTGTAGATGGAGAAGTCGAGAGCCCCACAGCTGGAGCAGATGTGGCTGTTATTGGAGGTGAGTAGCAGATCGTACTAAGCWGTGCCATAAGAATTAAAACAGCAGGTTGGGTGATTTCTTGCATTTTGCACAACCCCTGCTTTGCTGACGAGACAACAGGAGCAGCGCAATTAGAGTTAATTAGGCCAGTGGGAAATCTGCTCCCAGAGGGGCTATTGGCAAGATAACGAGGTGAGATAATGAGCATAAACCCTACACCAGCAGTACCACCTCCATCCATTCCCCATTTTAGGACAAAATACCAAACAGTCCAGCAGAAACGTCAGTCTCTGATTTCCTTTATTATTCACTGGGTCAGACTTGTCCTTCAGTGCAGAACTGGTGTAGGGCCTTTGATTTGAGCGATGCTGGCTATACCAGCTGACCCTGTATTGTTACAGAATTCACCACACTCCATTTCCTGGTGTTYCATTAAAGCTCTCTCATGCATTTAAACTAAATACAGTTGTCAGAATAAATGAGCAAAGCTATGTTCACAGAGCGAGTCTGTCTTTTTATTTTTATTGTGTTTGTTCATTTCCATGCTAACACACTAATTTCAGTCATTCACAAGGGGCTATACCAATCATTAGTGCAAATTGGTGAGGTTCTGCTATATTTCCCTCAGGTCCCATCTCCTGTAACTTTAATTTCAGCTTTCTATGAACAAGTAGCTGGTAAATTGATTTGTACCAAGTCCCTTAGGCTTATTAATATTGTGSTACATCTAAAGCCTATTAGAGCCTCTTGTGTCAAGGGATACCAGTGAGGTCCTAAAAATTGATGAAGCCCACACTGGAACCATGATATTATTTTAAACCTGAAGTTCTTTGTATAAGCAATTTCATTCCTGCTAGCAGTAACTTCACTTTCCAGAGCCAGGCACCGTGAAATCTGAAGGATAACATTAAGGTGTACCTTTTAAGGCAGAGTTACAATCTTTATTTATCCTACTAATATTCTGTCTGTTCCTATGTTTTCCTGCCAGTAGGGTATCCCCACTCAGTTTATGTTGCTGATAAAGCTAAAGCTTTGGAGATACCCACTCCTGCCACTTATCTTGAATATAAGATGCAGAAAATATATATTCTCTACGCAGCCATCATTGGCTCTGCACAGTAGGAGGCATTTCTAGGGAGCAATTCTTCTGACAGAATGTAGGAATTCACTTCTAGAAGACAATGACCACACACACCCACCCTTCACTGACAGCAAAGGAAACCCTARAAATGTTCTGTTCTAGTTCTTTTTATTGTGTATTTATTTAATGTTTGGTTTGTTCTTGGATTCATGTGAATATGGAATYAACTCAGTATCATGTACAGAATCACAGCAAAAGTGTTTATAAGCACATCCTGGATCCATGCAAAAAGTGTTTTAAAAATTATAAAATTCATACAAGTTGAATAAACTTCAAAATACTTAATTTATTGTCAGGATTTTTAAGTCAAGAATTTGACCTGTGAGGAAAGGGATAGATTGTACATTTTTTAACAATGGACTTGTCATGGACTTGTCATTCTTTGGAATTGTCAGGACTTGTCTCTTTTATGGGTTTCTACCTTCCACAATAGATAAGGAACTTGAATTTACTTTATTTCACTAGGCGTGCTTCCATTCACCGTTTAGTCCTGTGTGCATTGGAGTTATCTTTAGAATTTTTTTTGTCCAGTCAACACAAAGCTGAAAATAGCCTTWGTCCAGGAGACGAGATCTACCCAGAATCACCTTCTGCCAGGTGTCATTTCCAATTCATTACAATCAGACATTCTTAATTAGAGCACAGYATAAAATGGCAGCTTGTAAATACAAAGCAGTTCCAGCATCACACAGCTCCTGGTATTTGTTGAAAATCTGCTATGAAATACTCAGTGTCCTGACCATCTCCTGAAATTGAGAACACTTGAAAATACAGGGTTGGGTTGTTTACAAAAGAAACAGGATAAATATACTTCTTTTTTTTTTCCAAAGAAATAATCTGGTCTGTGGCCATTTAAGTTATTGTCTTCAGATTTTATATTTTTTTTTAGTAATCTGATTGTTAAAATGTTGATAATGAACTGGGAGCAATAGCTGGGTCACTCTGCTTGTACTTAAAGCGAGGATGTAGGGAAGCAGCCTGGCAGGTCACATAGCAGCCAGCCATAACTAATGCAGAAAATGCAAAACAGAGTAGAAAGCAGTGTATTAGCTGRTTGACCTGTGCTTTCCAATGTCTGTCTGCTGATGGATTATGTTATCAGCAGGCAAATAAGAATTCCTGAAGCATGCCATAAATGAAGTTTTATTTCCTAATGTCAGAAATAAAATCTCTGTSCAAGTGGTTCATTAAGAGTTCCACCAGATCACTTTTTGAGTATTCTACTCTGAAACCAGGACATAATCTGATCTTTATTCTAGAGAAAATAAATCAAAAAAATATTACCAAAAGGATAAAAAAACCTACTGGTTTTGCTTTATATTGTCTTATTTCTCCTCAAATTTGTAATGAACTTTTAGCTCCGATGTGTTCAACCAAATCAAGCCATTGATTTGAAAGAAAGMTGGTGAGAATTTGTCTTGTATTCCTGCAGTATCTATGTCCCATCTTGTTTTTTTTGCAATGCCAGGCTCTGTTCTGACTCTGGCCACTGCAAGCTCCTTATGGTACATGGGCTTTTCCCTACCAAGCAATTCAAGTTGTGAYKTCTGTCTGGTGAGACRCTTCTCMTGTTTTATTTCTGGTSATGCATTTAAGTGGTCTCTCCCCTSYAGGAGTGATTGCTGCCGTGGTGTTTGTGCTCATTTGCCTGCTGGTGGTGMTGGTGAGGTACATGTACCGGCACAAGGGCACCTACCACACCAACGAGGCCAAAGGAACCGAGTTCGCCGAAAGCGCCGACGCCGCTTTGAAAAATGACCCCGCTCTCCAGGAGGCAGTGGATGAGAGCAAAAAGGAATATTTCATCTGAAAGGCAAGGATTTCCATGGAGACTGCCCCAAAGGAATCAATCAGAAATGTAACATCTACAGAAGTACTAAGAGATGGATAATATGAGGATACAGGCGAGCATCCTAATTGAAAAGTATCTCTTTACTTTTTTTTTTTTTGTCACTGGGTTGTTTCTTTTCCTCAAGCAGTGAAGACCTAAATGCCAGATACTTGCCTGTTGATTTTATTATCAACACAGCTGGTCACAGTTGAAATCAATATCAGATAAGAAGAAACAAAATCTCAGTATGAGTGATACACCAAAACCAGATAAAGATAGCAAATGTCAAGCCTTGACATTTGGTGAAAATAGCAGATGCCAAAGGAAAACATCCTCTTAGAGTTAATGATGCATCCTATTCTGATATGATACAGAACTACCTGAAATTGAATTTCAAATGGTAACAGAACAAACATTAAACTAGATAAAGCTGATCTAGCTCCAACAAAAATAAATCTGTAGCTCAGATATCCCCCCATCTCCTTAAATGTGCATTTTTATTGGCACAGGGGAGTTTATTTTGTTTGTTTGGGGATTTACACTGGGATTTTTTTTTTTTTTTAATTTTTGAATTTTGTACATATATGAAAATCAAAGATACTTCAAAGAAATAAAACTCTTGGAAAACATGGAAAATGTTTTCCATGTAAGAATGTAAGAATGAAGGATTTATTACTGACTTYTTCTGCATGGCAGCTTGAGAACTGCAAAATGTTGGAATTTAAAATGTAGTATATAATAGTCAGTAGACTTACAAATGATTCCAATTAGTCAGTAGGTTCTCTGCATAYATGCATAAATAGATAGATATTAAAAGGTAAAGCATCCTGGTTTGAGCAGGCCTTTTGAAACAATGGAGCTCAGCTACRTTTTTTTCATGTAAAATATTTTTGCCTGAGTATTTATTTATTTATTTATTTTGCATTGGAAAATTCTCTGAGTGCCCACCAGCAGGATTGTGGATTTTTGCAGGGAGAGGAATTCAGTTCTGGTGCAGATACCAATACATCTTTCACAAACACAACCCTATGACTGTCACTATAAAAGAAGCTTTTTYATCTGCATCCCACTGGCTTGATTTCTCACTCTGTATATTCTTTGCATTGTGCTTGACAAGAGAATTACACCGAGCATCAATGCTTTATTATAAATAAATAAATAAATAGATTWTTCATGCTGGGTCACATGAAAAGCTCTAATGCCTCACCTAAGAATGGACGGTGATGAATTTCTTTACCCCAGTAAGTTGGCTGCCTAATTGAAGCCCAMAATTATCTCCAGAAATAGGATAATTGTTCCCTGCACCTGCTCATCCGCAGCTGTCATGGTGCCCTGGACTACTGAAAATAGAGCCAGAGAAATGCAAGATAAAAAACAAGATACTGATGAGCTCTGCTCAACTTGATATATTTTTCCCTGTGCTTTGATCTATATMTGTGTGCACATATATAAAACTCATSTACAGCTGTGCTTTCAAGAMATTGCTGCTSATCACTCRTGKTCACTTCTTGGCACCAAAGCTTGGAAAGCTCCTGGGCCCCTCCTGGGCTGCTCCTTCCTGACATTGGTCACAAAAAAGCTGTGAGAGATCTGAGCAAGACAAGACTCTGAGGACCCARCTGAAGAAATGAGATATTTTTGTCTTTCAATCACAATCTCTGTCCTTTCTCAGTACTTGAAGAAGATGGACTCTGGATTATTATTAGAATSCCAGTACCTTTGATTTTGAATCTTAAGTCTGCATTTTAACCAAAGAATGTGAAACTGGTGCCAAATTTTGAGGAGAAGTTTTGTAATATACCATTGTACAACCATATTGTATTCTGTGGCTGGTGCAGTATAAAATGCACAAAACACAGCACTAGCAGAGCTCAAATATTTTGATATTATGCAYCTGGATGTCTCCTTCTTACACATTAATATTTTAATCCTTTTACTGCTTTTAAAATAGGAAATATTTTATTTCTCTAGGACAAGTGTTAGGAAAAAACACTGATCTTAACCATAAAACTGAGTTTATAAACCTGAAGACCCCTGACCCTCCAGTTCAATACAAATGGAAATATTTCCTCTGAGAAAAGGAAAACTGGGGTGAGTTGAGCTCTGCTGCATCTCCCCTGCACAGRGAGTGGGAACACCAAAGAACTTTCCTCCAGCACCAGCAGGACCTGTGGAGGGCTATCAGCCTTGTGTTCCCTTTCAGACATCCAGAACCTGTAACGTTGTTATAACCGTTAAAGAAAATTGACTTTAGAGGAAATTGTGGTGGACATAAGGAGTAAATTCCTGCCTCTCTTCCCAGTCATGAAATACTGGCTTTTGCAACTCAAGGCTGCAGATTTTAATTGGGCACCCRTGTCATACCTGATACACACAGGAACCTGACTTAAAGTCTCTTTTGGTGTGGGTGTGAGTTTTTTAGTTATGAGGTACTTGGACAAAGTGCCACACTGGAATTATAGAGGCCAGATTTTCTGGTGCTACAGCATGAGTTCAGAGGAGCTCAGCCAATTCCCACCAGTTCAGACAAATTCAGACTTTGTGTCATTGCTCCCCTAAATGTGAACTGAATGCAGCTTCTGGTTTCTGACTATATCTCTTCTTCATAGCTTAATTAAAGATCTTTATCCCATTTTCCCTATTTGTCTAGGCTGACAAACAGTCCAAGCATTCAGAAACAGCTTTGCTRTTGGTAACAAGCTGCTTTGAATTGTTGGGCAGCAGCAACTGTGGCATGAGCTGTGGTTTCAGTGAGTTTATTTCTTTACTTCTGGGTTTCAGGRGTTTGTGTATTTAGAAATTACCCAAGCACACTCAACAGAAAGAAGAAATGGTTTGTGGAGATTTTCTGTTTCTTTGTTTTCATCAGGAAAAGCTTGGCTTTTATAATGAAGAAAGCTCATGATATCTGGTGACTGGCAGACTCTGATGGCCTCTTCCTGCTGTTTTTTACTCATACAATAACTCTACTGTCTTGAGTCATTCAATTTAGTTGTCAAAAGAATGTATTACAAATTTCCTATAACTTTTACGAGTAATTAGCCAAACATTCTTCTGCAAGCAGCATGCTGTGCTAAAACAAACATTGTGTGCAGCGCTGAGACATCTCAATTGGCAGCCACATCTTTTCATCACTGATGGTTAAATGATTTTTATAATTTTCTTCCTAAATAGAATAATTGATGAAACAAATTCTTCTTCCSCCACGTTTTTATGTGGGGTCCCTCTAGTGCTGTGGCCTTTTGTCCTGCAGCTCTTTGGTGTCCCATCTCCTCAGCTGTGGCTGCTCTTCTTGTTTGCAGTCCCCCAGCTCCCATCTGGATCTCTGCTGCCTTCTCTGTGGCAAAGACTTAGCCATTTACTGATTTATTTATCTATTTTGAYCAATGAAGGTTCTCTACCCCTCTCTGCTAGCAAAGAAAATTTTTCTAAAAGGTTCCTGGTTCAGATTGCCGATCCCATGTCAAATTTGGGCAAACATGAGCAATCTAACCTAGACAAATTTACAGATTCATCACATACACCACATTTTTACAGACAACAGGTTTAAAAATAGCACTGCAAGTTGTGTACTTGTTAAATTTTTTGCTATGAATCTCCAGTGTTCATTAAACAAGGGAACATTGTGATGATCCCTCAAGCCACTTGATTTTGTCCTCATGCCTTTATGCCCTGTGAAAGCTTGTTGAATCCCACTTTGCATAGGAGGTCATAGGTCCACGTTTACAAGTATAAATAAGTCGTTTTACAATGATGTATGGGAAAGCAGTGTTCTAAAATTACCAACATTTGCTGAAGTTGGGAGACAGAAAAGAAATATGATCCTGTAGGAACACAGGACATTTTTTTAAGTTATATGGAAATGACAAGAATTAAACACAATATTTSTGGTGACATTGGTGAGCTTTAAGAGTGGGTTCATGAAGCTTTCAAATTCCCTCACTGATAAAAATAATCCCTTGCAAAGGGAAATTAATCTCCTTTTAAACCATTCTTTTTGTCAGTCTTTGAAAAGAGTTTTCACAGATTTAGTATTCTGACATTCTGCCTTTGCATCTGGAACTAAATTTCTTCTAATTTTATGAGAATAACTGACAGTCCTCCCCTGCACAAAAATGACTGCTTGCCCATCTCAGCCCCTGAAGCATCRTTACAGCTCAGCAGAGTGATTCTGTCCAAAAGAAATCAGTCCCAAATGTGTATCTGGCCAACCAGACCATGGACTCATTTTTTCTGGGGCTTGTGCTCTTTTGTTCCAGGTTTTCCCCAGGTCCAACATGCCATTGGCCATTAATACAGACTTGAGGAAAATTCGGTCACCACTTGTCAAGGAAAGGAGACACATGTACCAAATCACTTTGAGATACTATCARAAATTGGGCTATGGGATTTCTCAGAACACCAACTACAAATTTTCTCTTAAACCAGATCTAGGGATCACTGGGGGTACATCAGTACAGAGGAATGAAAAGGACTGTCTTCTTTCAACAAGGAATACTGACAAGGTGCTGAAACATTTAYAGTTCCTGGATAATCAGGAAGGGACTGAACTAGCTAAAGCCTGCAAAGAWCCCTCACAGAACAGAGGAAACACTGAGACAAGATGCTGAGAAAATCAGTAAAAAGGTACAGAGCAAAAGAAGGTAATCAAATGCCAGTAGGGATGGAGAGAAATTTTTCATTTAAAAAAAAACATATATATTCCTGTTTGGAGAAATCAAAGTGTATTTGCTCAGTGTAACTGCTGACAACAAATTTCTTTGAATTATATGAGAAGTTTTCTTTGAATTAAATGAGGTGTTTGGATTCCTTGTGTGTGTAAGTCCAATCAAAAAATGATGGTACATACACACCRAGTGAATGGTCACATTAAATGTATTAAAAGCTGTTTATTGCATTTTCTGAAATCTCTCCGTTCTTCAGATAAGAAAGCTTTGTATGTTTAGAAAGTGCAGAAGCCTCACAGCAGCAGTTCATTCAGGACAGAAAACTAAAGAATCCCTGAACAAGCAATGGGCACACATCTGATGTCTGGAAATTCGGGTGGTTAATAAAGGAACCTGACAATATTAAAATAAAACTTAAATGGTGAGCAAAAACTCCAACCATTTTACAAAGACGTTAAAAGTTTGTTGTAGCAGAGCTTCTTCTCTAGTTCAAGACAGTAATATTGTCAGTGACTGGAAATAAGGAATCCTCTTCTACGTGTCTATTCCCTGGGTGGTTGGGACAAAATCCCACTGAATTCAGCAGGACAAGCGTTTCACTGACTGTATTCATCCTTCCTGCAAAAAAAAAAACCTGTGTTTCCACCCATGTCAGAAAGAAACATATTAAAGTACAATCCATATAAGATTTGATCTTTCAGCATAACTTCATGCCTTCACACCTTTTTGGTTGTTTTGAGCTGTATGTATGATGGAAAATATCTGATACATTGTACTAAAGTCCATTTGGATTGCAGCATTGCTATGACAAGAATAAAGAGCATCCAAAACTTACTGCTGATTTTATGTTAAAGCTGACTATAATATTTGTATTTACCAAAGCTATTAATACACTGATGGTGTAAATCTACTATATTTTGAATTAAAAAAAAAGAAGTTAATACCTTTATAATTAAAATTGTAAATTTCAGCATTTAAAAGGCTTATCTCATATTTTTCTTCTTTTTCAAGCTATCATGAACTTTTTGAATCACCAATTATGTTGCTTTCAAAAGAATGTAGATCAAAAAGGAATAGTCAGCTAGAATTTTTCTTAATAGAGCATACAAACCCTAAAATATATACTGGTGGTATTTGCATTAAAAAGCAAGAGAARCTTCTGATAGATCTAAGAAGGAGTSAATCTTCAAATGAGAAGTCAAACAATTATTCTCTGAAGAAACATTACCCTGTGGCTGCTGGTGTGGACCTGTGCACTGCTCTGTGATCTAAGGCATGGTGCTTTTAAAAATTCTGGGCAGATTATAAACATCTAATGGCTGTTTGCTGTTGGATGACCTGCCTTCCACCCAGCCGGTACCAAATGTGAATGCTTCTGCTTTGTTCTTCATGTTTGCCATRCAATTTATCTTTTATCCTAATGCAT